TCTCTGAGGCACTGTCCACTGTCGGAAGACAGGATACTGGGCTAGATGGACCCTTGGTCTGACCCAGGAAGGCCATTCTTATGTTCTTAAGCTCTTTACAAAGGAGGTCAATATCATTATCCTCATTTTGGCACAAGGTGGGTAAGTGACTTGCCAAGGTCACCAAGGAGCAGAGCTAGGAACAGAACCCAGGTCTTCCGACTCCCTGTCCACTGGAATGTCAACCTGAGCTGAACGTATACTATAGCACTGTAGCTATGCTGGCATAACCCCAGAGGGTATGTCTATCCAGCAATGTAGGCCAAGGGATAGTGAGACTTGAGTCAGCTGACCTGTATCAGGGAACCCCGGGGCTTGAGTGTCTACACTGCACTTTAACCCTAGGCTAATGTTTTTCTGACTCGTGCATGAACCTAGGGCTATAGCATCCACACTGCTGTGCATAGACCTGAGTCAAAGTAACACTATCCCAGAGTGCCTAGCACACACACACCCTGTGTCGACACTCTAGCCCTAGGAATGTGGTGCACTGTGGGAAAACTCTACTGCCCACCCTATTTCCTAAGTGTGGCACTGCTGTTGATGGGACTTAGGTGCCCACAAGGAGCACATGAGTACATACATGGCATAATTGGCTCCTTTGGTGGCTCTCTCAGTAGAATGGCTGCAGTGGGAGAAGGTTTTATATTGAACTACCATCTAATCTGAGAATTGGGCTCTCCGGCTCTAGGCAGAGTCACGCTGTCAGGAAAATGCCCATGTGCCCCTGTTCTGAGGCTAATTAGGATATCAGGCTCCAGGGCTGTCAAACTAGTAAGATGAAACTTTGCAATTCTTAATGTTTAAAGTGGGCTGTCCAGTGAAAAGGTTTTCGTTTGGTTGGTTTTTTATTTATTTTTCTCTGTTTATTTTGAAGTTTGATATAAAATGAAGGTATCGGAGGGAAAACACACACACACCCCCAGCTGGCTGCTGCTGGCTGCAGAGCAGTGATGTGCATCCCCAGGGCTTTGGGTGCAGTGTGCTCCAGCACCCTGGGGACCCCTTATCCCTGCCCCCACCACACCTTGGGATGCAGGGATAAGGGATCCCCGGGAGGCTGTGTGGAATTTTGGGGCTTACCACCCTGAAAGGGCATATTGGCCTGGGACCCACACAGCCCCAGAGGGGCCAGAGAGTGAAGTGAGGACCAAGCACCTGCCCCTGTCGTCCACCCCCCAGTTGCAGCAGAGAGAAAGATAAGAGAAATGTAGAGTAGCTGTCTGTTCTTTGTGGGTTTTTCTCTGTGTGTGGGGGGGGAGAGGGGGAATCAGTTTCTGTATGTTTGGTGGAGTCTCTCTCTCTCTCTTTGTGTCTCAATACGGTTTGTAAAAACAACGAGGATCCTGTCTTCCTACTTACAATATTGCTGCTTTTTCATCTGTTTGTTCTATTGGTTTTTCTTTCTCCCCTGGCCTCTCTCCAAAGTCCCTGTCAGTATTGGCTGAACCCCACTCCTTGCTGCCCGGTACCTGGATCTCCAGAAGGCAATGGGCACAGAAATTCCTCCTCATGTGAGACACAAAAACTTCCCTTCGAAGGGAGATAGGGTCCAAACTGGAACCTGTGGGAAAATCTTCTCCCTTGTGACCCCAGGGCACATTCAAGTGTCAGGTGTTGAATTCTCAGGGGTTGCAGTGAAATGCTCCTTCCCTCATGCCCAGGGCTTTATGACCTGACCCATGACTCCTCTCTGTGACCCTGACCGGCCTCTCTCTGTTTCTTTTTGTCTATTACAGAAACAGACAGAAGCTGAGAGGCAGAAGATTATGTCTGAGTTTGAGCAGCTGCATCAGTTCCTGAGGGAACAAGAGCGACTCCTGCTGGCCCGGCTGGCAGAGCTGGACCAGGAGATTGTGAAACTGCAGGATGAAAATGTCATCAAACTCTCCAAGGAGATTTCCCGTCTCAGTGAGCAGATCAGTGAGCTGGAGGGGAAGTGCCGGCAGCCAGCCAGTGAATTCCTGCAGGTGAGGGACATTATAACCCCCCCTCAGATCCCTACACAGGGATGGGCAGGTTCCTGAATCATGAGCTTTGGAAAATAAATGTATCAAATTGTTTAAAGCTGCAAACTTTCTCCTAAAAACTCCCTCTGGGACAGAAGTGGTAACGGTACAGTGAGTCCCCTCCAGAGCAGGAGGGATACCCAGTGTGGGGCATGTGGGACTGAGTTCCCTTTTTTCTCTCTCCCCTCTAGGACATCAGAAGCACCATGAGCAGGTATGTGGCTCCTTCTCACTCCCCCTCATGCTTCTCAGCACTGGAAAGGGGCTCGGGAATCTTATTAGCACATCTCCCCAGGGCACAACAGCACAATGTGTGGGGCAGGGTCATTTCAGAGACCAATCTCCCTGTGTTGACCCTTAGCCCCGGGGTGTTACCCTTTTATACAGGACTGGAGTCCTAGGAGAAGGGTTATTACCCTAAACATGGTAATGTCCATCTCTGGGGGACTGGCTGCCTCAGGAGTCTGGGGATGGAATACGGGTCTTTCACCACTGCGTCATTGGCTACTCTTTTACCCAGGTCAGCAGTGATCAGAACATTTACCACCTAATTTATGGTTTGGTGACATGGGTGAAATCATTTCAGGAATGGGCGAGCGGGGCTCTCAGACCAGTTCCTAGTGGGAAGATGCCCACCATGCAATAAATACAAGAACGTGGGAACATCCTGGCTCACAGAAGATGAAGGCCAGGGACTGAACTAGCCATGGAGACAACTCCCTTCTCATCCCTAGAGCTGGTCTCCAGATCAGTGCTGAAGCACATCAGTGGCCACTACGTAGAAAGCTTGTGCTGCCATTGCCTGGGCTGTGCCTGCTCAGAGGCTGGATAAGATTGTCAACCCAGGGGGTTTCCTGGCAGAGCTCCAGTGATATAACCATACGCATATACTTCTGCTAGAAAATTCCCCAGATAGACAGGCCCTTAGACTCCAGACCCTCAGGCCAGCTACTGTCACTAGCATGTAGTAATAAAATCACACAGAGAAATGTTTCTTTTCTCTCTAGGTCTGAGGAGGGGAAGTTCCAGCAGCTGCTGGAGGCTTCTTCTGAGCTGGAAAGGAGCCTCAGCAATTTCTGTCAGAAAAATATTGCTGTAAAGCTGACCCTGAACAAACTGAAAGGTACCGAGAAAGGAGCTAGGAGGGGACATTGAGAGAAGACTCTGTGACTGCAGGAGAAGACAGCAGCCACTTCACAGCAGCCAGCAGAATAATCCCAAATTAGTTACTCAACCACATTCTACAGAGAGGGACCAACAGCCCTTCTCCCGCAGTTCAAAACTATGCTATGCCTAGATCCGGGAAGTTGCTATGCCTCCCGGATCGGGGCTAAGAGAATCCCCAGTGGGCTGGGGGCTGTTTAAAGTGCAGCCCAAGTGGAGCAGCCTATGGGTAACAGCCCTGCCCAGAGTCAGTGCAGCAGAGTCCCCTTTGGCCTGGGCCTGCCCCTTCTGCTGGGCTGTGTGACTGTCTTAGCCGGTTCCTGCACGGGGGCAGTTCTCATCCGGCCAGAGCTAGGCTTTCTTCCCTATTTATGATGCAGTGTAAATGGGCTCCGGTGGGAAGGAGAATCCTTCCACAGATGGGTTTCCCACTGCTCCCAAAGACCCCTGTGTTCCCCAGGGCCTGCAGGCCCCACTCTGGGCTGGTCCAAAGGGCTGTGAATCCACTGCTAACTCCTTGGGCAATAGTAACAGACAGAAACTAATTAAGAACTAACTGGGGCAAATCCTGGTTCCTTCCACAGTGGTAATGGGTATTGGGGAGTGAACGTATCTGTCCAATATCCCTGTGTTTAAAGGCTAATCTCCTAACTTTAAGTATTCACTTTTGAAAAATGTGTCGTGCTTTGTGCCTCAGTTTTCCCATCTTTAAAATGGGGATAATTAGAACTGATTGGGAATCAGTTTCAACAAATGTCCCAGCTCAAGAACATAAGAATGGCCCTACTGGGTCAGACCAAAGGTCCATTTAGCCCAGTATTCTGTCTTCCAACAGTGGCCAGTGCCAGGTGCCCCAGAGGGAATGAACAGAACAGGTAATCATCAAGCGATCCATTTTATTTATTTTTTATTTTTTTTATTTTATCTCCTGTTGCTCATTCCCAGCTTCTGGCAGAGGCTAGGGACACCATTCCTGCCCATCCTGGCTAATAGCCATTGATGGACCTATCCTCCATGAATTTATCTAGTTCTTTTTTGAACCCTGTTATGGTCTTGGCCTTCACAACATCCCCTGCCAAAGAGTTCCACAGGTTGACTGTGCATTGTGTGAAGAAATACTTCCTTTTATTTGTTTTAAACCTGCTGCCTACCCCTAGCTCTTGTGTTATGAGAAGTAGTAAACAACACTTCCTTATCTACTTTCTCTACACCAGTCATGATTTTATATACCTCTGTCATATCTCCCCTTAGCTGTCTCTTTTCCAAGCTGAAAAGTCCCAGTCTTCTTAATCTCTCCTCTTACGGAAGCCATTCCATACCCCTAATCATTTTTGTTGCCCTTTTCTGAACCTTTTCCAATTCCAATATATCTTTTTTGAGATGGGGCAACCACTCAAATAAAATTGCGGAAAAAATAAGTCATAGTTGTCAAAATGTTTCATGTTGACATTTTTTAAAGGAAAATTTGAAGTGCCCTTTTGTTGTAAAATTTCAGCTGATTTAGACTAAAAAAAAGTTAGAAAGAAGGTGAAAATTAAAAAGGAATTGTTTGGGAACTTTCAAAATGAAACATTCTGATTCACCTGAACTGATTTCCCCCCCTATTTTGAGTTACAAAATATTTTTAAGACTTCAATTTTTTGTCCCATTTTGAGATGGAGAAAATTTTTGAACTCTAAAATATTTGAAAGATGGAAAACTAGTCTCTGCTCAGTTCTAGGGATAATTCTGTTCCACAGTGGGGACAAGAGTGAGATGTAATAATTGAGGGAATTTATAAAAGAAAATATCAGTCCTTTCTACACCATAAAGAAGCAGCCATGTCTGAAGAAAAAAAATCTAGTCCTTAATCTCTGTGAGCCTCACTTTCCCTGTCTTTAAAAATTGAGATGCTGTCTCTTTGGATGGTGGTGTAACTTGCTGAGTGACAGTAAAGTGCACTGACATGCTGTTGTGACAGTTGCTAGCTTGACCAACACAGCATGGATTGAACTAGGGCTTCAGAGCTAAAATCTTGAGTGTCAAGAACTTTACCTGTGGAGCCAAGCTTCCTACCTGAGTGTTGTAACAAACTCACATCCTCTGTAGATCAGAGGTGAGACACACCACATTTACCAGTGGGTTATATACTTCTGCTCTACAGACAAAGCTCATCCCAAACACCTGAGGTCCCCAATGCTTCAAACCCAGATAAGTCCCTTCTTACGTGAAAGCCACTATTGTGGCCAACCCTAGGAATCAAACCAAGGACCTAGGGATCAAACCAAGCACCCTCAGCTGAGCACAGGAATCTCTACAGCTTGAACTAAGGAACTTGCTGGGGCTGTTACAGACTTGCAGTCTCTGTGGATTGGGCACAGACAGAGACAAAACACACTGACCACTGGGTTACACTGCCATCAGAGGGAAAAGGCAAAGTTTCTGATCAGTTTTAACCTAGCCACACTGGAAAAATGGATGTGGCTCTTTCTTCACTGCTTTGTCTGTCTTTATGTCTGGCTCTATCAGTTTCTCTCTCATAACCAAAATGCAGTTATATTAACAAAGAGCAGGGACACCCCATAAACACGACAGCATGAAGTCTTGTCTCTTTCCCCTGTTCTTTCCACTAGATGTTCTGCCATTGGAACTGAAGACAGGAAAGGGGAAATCCATGGGATCAGATGAGAAGGGTACGTTTCCAGGTGGAATTGCTATTATTGTTATTATTTATTTATTACTAAATTAGAAGGAAAGAACTTCCCCAAAATAATATCTTTGTTTACTTCTTGTTAAAGTAGAAAGAAAGAAAGAATTACAGAGCACACTAAAACAATATAAAAATGATTAGATTTGAAGGAAACCGCAAGCTAAGATTACATCACTAGTTTGTCACACGTTTGCTCATGTAGGCCGAGCTTTGTCTGTTAACAAGTTTTTCCGTGCAAATGGAGGCTTGGCCAGAATGGCTAGGAGGGCTGGCTGGGGTGCAGAGGAGGTTAGGGGCCCAGCTAGTGGGATCTGGCCAGCATGGGGAGGGAATGAAGACTTCAGCTAGGGGGCCTGGACAGTGTGAGGTGAGACCCACCTATGGGGGGGTGGGGGTTGACTGGAGTGGGGAGTTAGGGGCATGGCTGGGGTGGCTGGTCAGAGTGGGAGTGAGGGGCATGGCTGGAAATTTGGGACCGGATGAGGGTGAGGGTACCAGCTTGGGGGTGATGAGGGGACTGGCTGGAGTGGGCAGGCAGGAGGCCCTGCTTGGGGGGCTTGGCATAGTGAGGGTAAGGGGCCTCCCTGTGGGAAGCGGCTGTATTGGGGGAGAGGAGCCCAGCTGGGCATACAGGTCAGCCTACATAAGCAATGCAGTGTACCTCCCCCTAGCAGCTACCTGTCATACATTTAGGTGGCAGCAGGGAGAGCCAGAGAGATTTCTCTGCCCACATCACCCTGGGCCTCTGTGGGCCTGACTTTAGTGGAAATTGGACTTTTCCAGTTTTCTGATTGTCCCCAAAGTTAGCAGGGTTCTGCCCGTTTGTGCCTCAACCAGGCCCATCTGGTCTGGAACTGATCAGGTGTTGTCCAAAGCCGTCGTGTGACAGGCACAGAAATACCTAATCGAGTTGAGTGGGGGCCTGGCTTCATTGTGCCCCAAAGATCCTGACATCAGCCTGAGCAGCCAGTTCACATACAGCCAATACACAGCAAAAGTCTCACCGACAGGCCCCCAAACACCCTTTACTCTGCCCCGGCACTGCTCATGGACATTTCTGGGTGGGATTGTCAGGAGCATCTAAGGGAGTCAGGAGCACAAGTTAAGTGCCAATGGGCCTTGTGCCCCTAACTCCCTTAGGTTTTCCTGAAAATCCCACCCCAGGTTCCTTTTTCATATTTAATGAGGAAAATGGAGTAGAGAGGCCCCTCAGAACTGTCGCACCTTTTCCCCTTCCCCTGGTTTGAGGGGCTTTCCATCCAGAAACTTCTCTTTGGGGTGGGCTCTCCTGCGGGGGCTGAGCTCTGAAGTACTCTGCTTCTCTTCCCAGCGAGTGTGACTCTGGATCCAGACACGGCTCATCCCCGGCTTCTCCTGTCTGTGGATCGGAAAATTTTGACCTGGGACGTCATACGGCTGAACCGTCCTGAACATCCCCAGAGATTTGATTCGTCTCCTTGTGTGCTGGGCTGTGAGGGATTCACCTCAGGGAGACATTGCTGGGAGGTGGAGGTGGGGCATGGGACAGCCTGGGCTGTGGGGGTGGCCAGAGAGTCTGTGAAGAGAAAGGAGGAGCTCAGTGCGGCACCTGAGGGGGGGATCTGGGCTGTGCAGAGGTGGGGGTTCCAGTTCCAGGCTCTCACCTCCCCTCCAACCCCCCTGTCTCTGAGCTGCGTCCCCAGCAGGATCCAGGTGTCTCTGGACTGTGAACAGGGGCAGGTGGCATTTTTCAGTGCTGATAGCGAGGCCCCGATCTTTACTTTCCCACCAACCTCATTCACGGGGGAGAGACTCCGCCCTTTCTTCTGGGTCTGGGGTGTAGGTTCCCAACTCACTCTCTATTCCTGAGGCACCCGGTGGCACATGGCTCCCAGTCCCATGAAACGAGCTTCTCCGGCCTCTGATATCCTAGTCTCTTTGGCCCTGCATGGCTCCCATGTTCTTGCAGAGACATTTAAATGCAAAGTGAACAGACCAGAAAAGCTGCTGTCTCTGCCCCATCGTGGGTCTCTCCTGCTTGTCTCTGTCTCTCTCCCTCTGAAGGACCATGACAGCCCTGCAAGGACTGGAAAATAGGGGTTCACAGCTTGCCTGTCTCTGAAGGGGGCAGGAGGGTTTCCAGGAGCCCCAAGACTTGTATGACTCCGTGGTCCCACAAAAGAGAACATGCATATCATGTGAAGGGAACCTAGTCATGGCTGTAATGCATTGCTCAAACTGTGACCTGCAGAGAGCTGTCTGGCTCCTCCCCCTTGTTTTCAGCTCCTGTGTTGCATTAAAATAGCCTTAGGATTCCTTCCCCAGGTGAGCGGTTGCTGTGGTTGTCCCAGGGATGTTGAGGAGTGGGGAGGTGGGCCCTGCAGTCATGTCTGAGAGAGAAAATGGTCTGTGAGTCACTATATCTACTGGGGTGGGTGTACACTGTGTTTAGCCTCACAACACTTCTGTGAGGTGGGGAAATGCTGTTACCCCATTTCAGAGAGAGGAATGTCCAGCACAGAGCAGATAAATGACTTGCCTGAAGTCACATAGGAAGACAGTTACAGAGCAGGGACTTGAACCTGGGTCTTCCAAATAAACAGCTAAACCACCAGACCAGCCTTCTTCTCTGCATTAGGAGCCTGGGAAAGGAGGATAAAGACAAAGCTACACGCAGGGAAAATATATTAGTAAAGTTTGTCTAATGATCCTCTCACTGTCCCTCCCCACAATCACTGGGCCAGCCCTGTGCAGAGTCAGGTGATCACAGTGGACAGGACCTGAGTACATGGTGGGAATGAAAATAGATTATTTTTTCAGGCCTGCTCTGAAATGCTCAGGCTGCCTCTGAATGCCCAGTTATGTTCTGTGCTCAGCTTTCGGGCCCCGCTGCCCAAAGCCCTTCCTCTTGCCTGGTCTGTTTGTGTTCCCTAGATAAACTTCTCCACCTGGGCCCTGCTGTTTCTAAACAGATCCCTTTGGAGGAAGAGATGAGAAACAGAGAAACATACATCTCTCTGTCACCCACAATCTCTGCAACTCCCTGCCCTTCTCTGGTGGGGATCTACAGTAAAAAAGAGTCTATTTGGGCTCTGAGCTGATAAAGCTGCTTCCTCCCCAGCAGCACCCCCAGCTGTCTGGCTCCAGATTAATAACACTCCCCCCTCCCCCCAATGTGGGAAGTGGCTGAAAGTCCATGCGTGGCTGCTCAGGGGCCTGTGGGGAATGCAGTATTGTCAACTTCAGGAGATTAAAAATGAGTCTGACTCCCAAAAATTACGAGATTGGGCCCCAAATCATGACATTTTAATAAAAGATTATAGTGTATTTTTAGGTCAGTCTCTTGATTTTTGAACTCCCTTGTGTTCCCTAGATAAACTTCTCCCCCAGGGTGTGTGCATGTGACGATCAGTGTTGCCCACTCTCCCATGTACTAGTAAGGTGATTTTGGCCCCTGCTGCAGGAGCTCTCAGCCCCTAAAGGAAGCAAACGACAGAAATGTAACCACAACCTTCACTCCAAACTGTCTTTAGGGTGGGATTTCAACAACACGTAGGTGAGTTTGGTGCATAGGTCCCATTCAAAGTCAATGGGTTTTGTGCTCCTAATTCCCTTTGGTACTTTTGAAAATTGTAACATTAGTTGGGAGTTTCATTTTGAGGATAAGAATCCTGCAAATGCTTAAGAACATGCTGAACTTTGTGCGTGTGAGTTGTCCCTTTGAGTTCAAATTTATGCACATGGAGAAGTGTTGGCAGGGGAAAAATTGAATGGTTGCTTTAAAAAAGAGAGAGAATTTGCATCTGGGAACTTTGCATTTATTTATTCTTACTTCAGGTCAGAGCCAAGCGTCAGAGCCCATGCTAGTGCCCCCTTTCCCCCCTCCCGTCCCCTGACAGTAAACGTGGGATAAAATAGAAGTGGCTACGATGGGAGTTCTACCTGAGCAAAGATTTCAGAGCCCATTGAGATAATGTGAACCGTACCATGGTCTAGTCCCAGACACAGTTTGCTTCACATCAAGCGTTTCCTTGGAGTTATTCTTATGGATGGGAGTTTCTGCTCCATGGGTCTGTCAGGGACATTGTCTCACTGTCCCAAACCCATGAATCTCCATGCTCTGTGTCAGGGAAAGAGGGATATGCTGGAGGCAATGAATGGAGATCATGGCTGAGGGCCTTTTCCTCTGCCCTGCTGCCTGACCTGAGGAGCACGGTGTGTGCAGAGGCTGTGCTGCCAGAACCTCAGACGTAGGTTGCACTGACCCCTGTGTCCCCACAGAGGATTCTCAGGAGCAGGCTTGTGCAGTGCAGGGGACATGTGAAGGCTTCAGGGCTTCAGCGCTCTCTGCTGGTGACTCAGGGAAGTTTCTCGTTGTGGCCAGCTCACACTAAGAGCAACGATGAGTTCACAGTTACAGTAAAGACTCTTTTGCAAACATAGTTTCAGCCACAAACTCTGCTGTTTTCTATCACTGGGTTTGAAGGAAAGAAAAGCCATTTGGGATTTTTTTCTTTTTATACCCCAAGGGTAATAATTCTTAGCAAGCAACAGGTTAACATGCACCTTTAACATAGGGTGACCAGGTGTCCGGTTTTCGACTGGAACACCCAGTCGAAAAGGGATCCTGGCGGCTCTGTGTCCGGTTGGTGGCGTTGTGCAGCGGAGCTGGCAGGCTCCTTGCTAGCTGCCATGCGGCTCCCAGGAAGCAGCCGGCATGTCCCCACTCCGGCTCTTATGTAGGGGCAGCCAGGGGGCTCCGCATGCTGCCCCTGCCCCAAGTGCCACCCCCGCAGCTCCCATTGGCCGGGAACCACAGCCAATGGGAGCTGCAGGGGTGGTGCCTGCAGATATTGCGTTGTGCAGAGCTTCCTGGCCGCGCCTCCATGTAGGAGCCAGAGGGGGGGGGGTGTTAGAGGGCTTTCCCTTCACCCTCTCCCCTGGTTCTTGTCACACAGATGGACAGCAGAAGACCAGAACTCCGAAGTGCAGGCAATGCGATGTTTATTGGGGTTTTAGTTCCAAGCAAACATGTTCCGAAGCCCTTCACACCAGTCGGGCATATCTTTATACGCTGATAGAGTTTTCCCCTTCCCCTCCCCAACTACACTTCTATACGCCAATAGAACCCCTTCCTCTTCTAACCCCTAGCTCCACACACCAATGGAGCTCCCTCTTCCCAGTGTTCTGTTTCCAGGTCTGATGCCACAGAGCATTTACCTTGTGTTCCCCTTCCCAGCTCTGATGCCGCAGAGTGTTTACCCCATGTCTGCCTTCCCAGCTCTGATGCTGCAGAGCCTTGCCTGTGTCCCTGTTCCTCATTCCCCTATTCCCAGGCCCCCGTTCTCCCATTACCATTCCCCTTCCCGCTCCCCCTCCTTCTTCTTAGCAGGCCCAAATATTGTTATACCAAATAAAATAAAAAACAGCAGGATCTTATTAAAGGGGATAAGGCAAAATGCCACGTTTATTGTGAATACAGAAAGGATCAGAGTAAGCAATCAATTATAGCTATAATTTTCCATTCAATTTTACATTCATTTACACATTCATTTATACACATACAGGTTCTGCAAGGTTGTTATTATAGTTACCAGCCTTAGAGTTGCTCGTGCCAAGCCACTGGCCAGGTGGCCTGGACACGAGGCGGGAGCAGGGCCTTGTCAGATGCGCATCCAATGCTCCTGGAGGTTGGTTTGCGGAATCAGACCCAAAGTCCGCAGTCTTTAGGGTCTGTTCTTTATAGGGATCCATCCTCATGTATTTGCCTCGTCATGCTGTTCTCATGTTTGAAGTGATAATTAATCACTGTTCTCACGTTTGAGGTGATAGTCAATCACGCAAATGGCACAGCAATGATGAAATGACAGTACTATATATACTCGTTCATAAGCTGAATATTTTTGGTAAAAAAGTGATGCATCAAAGAGCTGGGGTTGGCTTATAAACAGGTCTACACCAAAATTTGATGATTAAATTGGCTGGGAATGGCAAACTGCGGACACTGGGAGCTGAGGGGCTCCGTGCCTGCAGACGCTCCAAGTAAACAAAACGTCCCGACCCGCCAGCGGCTTACCCTGACGGGCTGGGAGCCAAAGTTTGCCAACCCCTGAAATATAGGGTCGACTTATGAAAGGGTCATACAGTTTTTGCTATTTTTACCTAACCATCTTGGAGGGTCAGCTTATAAATGAACGGGCTAATGAACGAGTATATACAGTATGTTGTTATCTTGTTCCTTGGCTCTTCAGCCCCCCTGTCCTTGGGACAAGAATACCCTCAGGTTTATCGGGCTACCTCATCCACTGTATTCTTCAGCCAAACGGTCTTATTTTAAGGCTGGCACCTTAGCCTTTAATTTTTCATTTCTCATTTAATTATACATACAATCACACTCACACTTCAATGTATATCCTGTCACATCTGCATTTTATTACCTACCCATCCTTTAACATAACCATTCTAAAATCAGTGGGACATGGCAGACTTCAGTAAGTCTATTCATCCCACTTGTTATATTTAAAAGGAAATGAACAACATAAGCATGCAAGTGTGTGTGTGTGTGGGGGGTGGGAGGGTTCTCACAAATCTTATTCTGGAGTTTAGGAAAACAAAATTGTACCAGCCATAAAGAACAGCTGTTATCTTGTTAGTTTTAGAACAAACTCTTTGTCTCTGGATGTGCTTCTACAATTAACATTGACCTTGTAAACTGACAGGCAATTTCAATCAACACAGACTCAGCAGGGTGGCTGAGAAACATATTTCTTTCTAATGGTCAGGCCAAATTCTGGGGTCTGCTGTGGAGTCACTCTTTTTTACATTTCCCATATCAGAAATATACCAGTTATCAATCTAGTCCAACATAATGAGCCTTTACCCTGTGGCCCCTTTCCCAGCTCTGATGCTGCAGAGCCTTGCCTGTGTCTCTGTCAGGGCTGGCTCCAGGGTTTTTGCCGCCCCAAGCGGCGCAAAAAAAAAAAAAAAAAAAGCCGCGATCGCGATCTGCGGCAGCAATTCGGCGGGAGGTCCTTCGCTCCGAGCGGGAGTGAAGGACCGTCCGCCGAATTGCCACCGAATAGCTGGACGTGCCGCCCCTCTCCGGAGAGGCCGCCCCAAGCACCTGCTTGGCAAGCTGGTGCCTGGAGCTGGCCCTGGTCCCTGTTCCTCATTCCCCTATTCCCAGTCCCCCATTCTCCCATTACCATTCCCCTTCCCGCTCCCCCTCCTTCTTCTTAGCAGGCCCAAATATACTTCAATGCACGCTCCTAGTCACACCCCTTAGAACTTATGGTCATGTTCCATTCTGGAGGGTTGTGAGTCGGGGTCTTCATCCCACCCCTTATGTATCCCATGGGAGGGGTAAGGAGTGCCCTTTAGGTTGACGGAATGGGGTTGGTTGTGTGGACGCAGTTGTTTTTAACTCTACCTAACGCAGCTAAATTCGACCTAACCCCGTAGTGTAGACCAGGGCTCAGGGAGCTGATCAGAGAGCTAGAGGGGAAGTATCAGAAGCCACTGAGTAAATTTCTGTAAGTGAGACTGTGTTAGAAACATCCCAGAACTCAACACAGGGAGAGGACAGTTTCTGAATTGTGAACACGGGAGTCCATCAGTCAGAGATTGCACTGTAACTCAGTGTGGGCATGCCTGAAATGTGAATTATTATTGTTTTTTGATAAGTTTCAGACACATAGATATTGGGCATGAAATTAGCCCATACCAGGGCTCACATTTGGGGTGAGCTGTCCAGGCCCCGACCCAGGGCAGCCTGCCAAAGAGGACGCTGTGCGCAGGGTTTGGATTCCCATCTGAACTGCTGAGGGCCAACTGGGCTGACGGAGGGGCAGCAGACAGACAGGCAAGCAGCAGTGCTGGAGAGGGGGCGAGGGGAGAGACCCGAGCTGCAGGGGGCAGTTGGATGACCAGCCCTCTGAGCCAGGTGACCAGGTGACTCCTCCGGAGAAGGGGTTCCCTTCCTCCCCCCCTGCTCCACATGTGCAGCCGCTGCTGTTCCGGACTGGGAGCATCCTCCTGTCCGCTTGGAGGGGGGGGGGCTGATGTCAGGGTGTCCCCCTCACCCATGCACCTGATTTCCGCTGAGGTGAGG